AAAGAGCACCAAACGGAGACCTCAACATTGAGCAAGCACATTTAATTCTAACCTTCAGCAGAAGGAACTTCAGAGATTACCTTGCATCTTGAAAGCACGGAGATCATTTCCTCCAATGTGTTTGGTCCAACATCAACAGGTTTCCATCCTAAGGAAAAACATTTGAAATCCTTACATATATTAGAAACTATCATCCCAATGGTAAATACTACAGAGATATTCTCAAACTTTCAGAAACAAAAGTAGCTTGAGCTCACACGAATGGAGTTCCCTAAATAACCCAAAATTATCAGAGAGGACTCAGAATTTATCATTTATTAATGTACAACAATACGGTGTTTCAATTGCAATGATGAATGATAGTAATGTCGGACGAAAACATCACCCAACAGAACTGCATAGCCTTCTTTTTTCTTTCTGGTAAGCTAATTTTCAGGTGATTGATGGTCTCATTTCCAAGAAAAAGACAAAAAGAGAGCAAGAAAAATGGTATGGTTCAAAGTGCTTCAAAATTTTCAGTTGCTAGATCCAAAACAGTGACAACAACAGTGACCTTCATATTTGGTGGCCAACCTTGGCTACATAATGGAGCCAATAGAACTGAGACGGTCCAATAGCCAGAAAAATGAAGTTTGTTACTCCATCCGTTTCAATTTTTTTGTCTTACTTTCCTTTCTAGTCCGTTTCAAAAAGAAAGGCAACTCTTTAATTCTAACTTTCCACATGACATTGTTTAAGATAATGAGATTAAAGGGTATTTTGGTACATTCTACATATCTTTATTTATGACACGAGACTCAAAACTCTTCTTTACTTTCTTAAACTCCGTGTCAAGTCAAAACTAGACAAACTAATTGAAACGGAGGGAGTATATATTTCACTTTTTTAATTGTTCAGCGATCTCTTGTCCATTTAGTCCTTAATCTAGCAAATGAAACAATGCAGACCTTGGGGCTAGGTTGAAGATTTAAGAGATTTAACTTTACCATCCATGATATGATTAGCAGGAAAAATCTTCATCTGCGACGGATAATAATCATTGAGGCACCAAAAGTCTTTTGGTAATATGATTTGTACTCCTCTTGCCTTTGCAGCCTCAACTAGCACATGGGCTGCCTCTAAGGATTCTTGTTCCACCGATTCCATAGGAACAGGTAATCCAAAAGCATGCATTATTTGAAATGCAGCATCGCCAACAAACACTAGGCCGTCACATCTAGATGCCAAAAATAGCAAGGCTGCTGCTTTCCCAGCAAGATTACCACCAACCTGCATTGCATCTTAAATTATCACTTGCAATATATGAACCAAAAAAGCCCTGTTCTCATTTTAATCAAGAACCTGAAAAATACTTAGAAAAAGATTCTCGGATGCATACTATTGCAAAATAGGGCCACTTGTTCATCTCGATTATCTTCTTCAGTTGAGACATTTGCTCGTCAAAGTGAAATCCAGCAATGGACGCATAGCAGAAGCCGGTAATACCAACATTTGATGCAAGAATCTTATGTGATTGAAAAAATGTATCATTAACAAAGATATCCACGCCAGATGATAGGCGTCGTGAAAACTCTGAACTATTGGCTTGCTCCTGCTTAAAGTGAGAAAGGTTCTCAAGAAGATGGATGTCAGATTTATGTCTGTCTTCCATCAGGGACTGCTCAAATCCAGAACCAAACTCCACTGGTATGACTTTTTGTTCAAGCTCTGACGATAGAAATTCTGAAGAATACATTATCTAGATCAATTGAACTCCATTTAAAACAAGTTTTGTGAACATTAAAAAAAGAAGAAGAAGTGTATCAAAACAGGCCCTTCATCCTTGCCTAGAATATTGTGCCTACATAGGGTTTTCATACTTTGGGAGGCTAAGCCTAAGTTCACAGCAGTGTTCTCGAAGGTGCTTTTAAGTCCTAAAGCGAGGATCAAAACATGTTGAGCGAATGAGCGCTTCACCTCGCTTAATGTGCACTTCAATGTCATCAAGGCTCTAAGACAAACATTCCTTACAAATGAGTGTTTCATGAAGAGGCGACACTAAACAATTGATATTTCATTTTATCATTAAAAAAATCATTTTCTTAGTCCATATATTTGTTTTTCATGCTTATAGTCTTGGACTAAACATGCAAAATTGTATATTTTTTCTGCATTTGCGCCTCTTCTAATTAAAGCCCACACTTTATTGCGCTTAAGCACCAATGGACCTTAAAGCTTTTTTTCGCATTTCGATTTTGATAACACTGGTTCACAGATGGGGAAAAGCAGCATGAAAACTTAGTGAAAAGTAAGAAATTTGTAAACCTGCAACATATTCCAATTTGAGAAGCTGCAAGTCAGCTCTCACACTCCAGTTACTGATTAGAATTAACTTTGCTCCAGCTTTGTGTAGATACTTGATGGTTGAAATTATACAAGCTGCTGGAGACTGCTGTTTCTTGTGCTCCCTTAGCAGGATGGTCAAATCCAATCTGACCATGACAACTTTTCCAAATAGCTCCTCCTTCGGGAAGTTTCTTAGGGTTTGCACGTGAGGTAAGATATCGGAATCTCTCCCATCACAAGCCTCAGCCTAAAAGTGGATTCTTGTCTGAGTAAGAAGAACAGACAGCACATTGAATATGGCACATGAAAAAACGACAAATATTGTCACGTATGACACAAGCTATAGAAAACTGGATTTTCAGCCCAATGTTCAGTAACATGTTTTCTTTTCTAGGATGTGAAATTATTTGAACAGAAACAAGAATAGACAGGCCAGTTAAAAACACGTTGAATTCCAGCAAACAAATACTTTTATTCACAAACTACAACTAAAATAATATGCATGACAAACTAACTTAATCTCCATGTTCATTCAAACGTGTACCACACCACATGAAGTGGTCGAAAGGAGGGAGCACTTTGGTACATCAATACTTTCCTAGTTTTTTGCTGATAACACTGCTCAAACTAAGAGGTCAAGTTTTAATCATTGTAGAGAACTACAGCATATGCCATACAAAAATGACTTCTTTTATCACTGCATGTGAAATAGGCCCACTTCTCTATCCTTCTCCACTTGAATACTCGACTTGGTTCAACAGCTCTTGTGACGTGTGTGGAGTACCTTAGCCATTGAACCAAAACCTTGCAGCTGCTGACTACAAGTGACTTAAATCTTAATAATACGACCGGAAAACAACAACAACTATCCAGGTACTTACAGTAAAACCAAATTATCCAGAGACTTCAATTCTTTTAACATTCGTAATAAAAAAGATGTAAGCATCTAAAATGTAACCTAAGGTCAGGGATCAGATTCACTTACTGACAATTTTTCGTTGATAAGATGCAAGACCTTTTGAGACTTTGGAGTAATAATTTCAACCAACAACAGTTGTTATATACAATACTCCACAACGATTGATTAGGAGATACTGAGACACTTGCTAATAATTAATACGCAACTCCGTGATTTCCAATAGATTTGGTTCTAATTTGAGATTCTTTAACAATAGCAAATACATTTGCATCAGTAAATACTGCTATTTACCTATACCTACTTCATTCATGAAAGCCAATACTTTTATTGGTTATATCAAGAAGAGAAATGTCATTTAATTCAATTGAATATGATGCACAGAAGTACAGTTAACACATATAGAAATAGAATAATCAAAGTTGAAGCATTAAATTAGGGATAAAAGAGAACGATAAGCGAATTCAGATTACAAGTTAGCAAAAAAATATATGCATTATATGTCTGTTTATTGGATATGGCGCATTGTTTGACTCTTGGGGATTCAGAGCACAAGAAACATAAGCACGGACAGAGCTAGGTGGCACAAATTTTGTCGGAAAATTACACTACATAGTCAAAATTATTTTTTCTTGGCTTCTTCGTATGTTTACTTTTCTATAATTTTAACTCCTTTAGTGAAAATACTGACTCCGCCATTGGTAAAAACATCATTTGGTAGGTAATGCAGCAGTTAGGGGTATGTACCTCAGTACCTATAATAACTTAGATACATGAATAGTAAGTCGAGTATTACCTCCTCTCGAAATGAATGCAGATCAGCATGATCAGCCAGCTCCAAATTTAAACCTGGAATCGAGACCCCGGTTAATAACAGCAATATAACAAGATTTTGAACTATTTTTGTTCCATCACTTGGTACATCAAGTTTTGGTACTAACCTTGTTGTAAAAATTGAATCTTTTTACATTTTTGAACTGCAGAACATTTCCCATATGATAAACGCAGTCTAATTTGTTGCAAATCTTGAAATTTTGTACAACCATTGTGGAAATTTGTTATTCTAGGTAAAGAGTATCCTAAGAAGAATTCCAGAACATAACTCATCCTTTTGTTCTTGCACTATGAATCAAACTTTGAAGTACAGTCTGCAAGAAAAATACCAAATTTTCCATAGGAACACAATAAACAAAAATTACAAACAATCTTAGTAGCTTGGTTGGTTGACTATCTGAACTTACTTTCCTTCCTCGTTTACCCTTCCCAACCCCAATTTTTTAAAAATAAAATGAAAATTACTCATGAAAAACACAGTATCTAATATAGTAATTATTATATCAATACAACTAAAAAATGATGCAAAAATTAGCAAATTACTTACCTGAAATGGCTAACAAGAGTGACAAGTTGAATGAAGATAAAATGTCTAGAGACAATATATATATATTTTTTATTATATAGTTTTAAGAAAAGAAATTTGCATTGATGTCCCTCTCTAGTTTGAGACAATACATATACATCCCTTCAAGAATTAAGAGTTACAGAATCCTCCCTCAAATTAAGCTCTGGTATAAATAATAAGAATATTAATGTAGTACTATTACTCTCGCAGTTTATATATATTGTTCAGGTTTCAATAGTCAAATAATTTAATTTTGATCGTGCATTCGAATATAATTTTTTTAAATATAATTTAATATTTAAAAAAATATATGAAAAAATTAGGATCAAACAAAAAAAAGAAATTGAATCTCGAAATCTTTGGACTAAATATAACGTCGGGTAAGTACCCGACCCGAATAGAAATACGGATCTACGCTGCTAAATCTGCAAAGTACAACCAGCTAAAGCAGATTTAGCTCACTTTTACTTGATCTCCGCCATCAAAATCTTCTTCGCCGGCCGCCGATCTATTCTCCGACCAAGATGGGTGCCGGTTTCCTCGTTGGCGTCATCGGTGTTCTTATTCTATCTCATGCTACCTATTCCACAATCCAATGTAATCCCCTTAGGTTTTTATTCCCTTTTTACCTTTTTTTGCTGCATCAGTTTGAAGAAATATTTTTTTTGTTCAATTTCAGATAGGGCTTTGCTTAAGATTACTGAGGAGGAGTTTTCTGGACCATCCATTAATGTAAATTTTCATTTTTCACCTTTTTTGTTGAATCTGCTGAGTTATTAGAGTTGATAAGAAGTTGAATTTTTTTATATGTATGTGATGTGGTAGTGATTGATCTCTTCTTAATTGTTTGTTGTTCAATCAAGAAGTAAATGTTTGTTGTTCAATTGTGTTATTTGCTGTTGCTATTGTATTTACTTTACATACTTTATTTTGGATATGTTTGCTCGAGCTTAAGGCTTATCGGATATAGTCTGTCTACCTTCCCTGACCCCACTTGTAGGATTATGCTGGGTATGTTGTTGTTGTTGTTGTTGTTGTGATGTGGTAATGATTATTCTCTTTTAAATTGTTTTGTTGTTCAATCGTGTTGTTTGTTGTCACTACTTGTTCTCTTCTTAATTATTTTCAACATGGCGTTTTCGCTACTGTATTTTCTTTACATGTTTGATTTTTGATATGATTGCTTGAGCCGAAGGTGTATTGGAAACAACCTCTCTACCTTCATAGTGTAGGGGTAAGGTTGTGTGCACATCACCCTTCCTTGGCCCCACTTGTGGGATTATAGTGGGTATGTTGTTGTAGTGATGTGGTAATGATTGATCTAAAGTATTGGGTAATGTGCAGGTTGTTATCGAATTGATAGTTAGTTTAGTGTTATGCTTGTGGGCTGCAATGGCTGCCCCTGGAAATTTCAAGTCAATCCATCCTCAATCTGAGGAAAACAGGTACTTAATTCATTCTTTTTAGTTGGGGTTCTTGTATTTTTATTGTTTTTTCTTTGTTTTGCAGTAATAGAAATTTTTGGATTTCTAGGGACTTGTAGGAATATAGATTGTTGGTGTAAATCCACAGTTATGGGAAGATCTATTCTCACTATCTCACGGTGGTCAATGTTCCCTTGCTCATATCCTCCATGCGTTATACTGTTATATGTATTTTGTTCTTCTTAAGCACTCACAAAGGACTTCTTCTGGCACTATATCAGTTTCTTTCTCTAAGTTAATGAACAACTAGGGCTTACCTCGTGGACGAAGTGCCCCTCGGCAAGTTTAGAGGTAGTGCTAGGCCAATGACTATCATGTGGAAATCCCCTTTCTCTTCCAATTTATTTTTTTGTTTTAGAAAAAATATAACCTCTATAAATTTCCATCATTTTTCTTGCATATTGCCTCCTTTGTAGTCTAACATGTTCTCTGTCACCCTTGTAATATCCCTAAATGTTTACTTTATCATTCTTTTCTCGAAGTTCAGACAACGTTGAATATCACTTTCATTTTTATGTATCAGAACTAAGAAACTCTTTCTCTACTCATTTCGCGTTTTTCTTTGTTATTGTTGCGCTACTGCAAACAAAATTTCATAGCTTGGTGAGTTATACCATTCCGACTTCTTTAAGGCACTTCCAATCCTTTACAAGGATACCTTAACTTCAATGGACACAATGCTTAGAGTGTGCTAATGTTTCTTTTGGTCATGGATGTGAATCTTTAAAGTTCTCCTTGACTTCTCTGGTGTTAATAATTTCCATTTTATTACATAGCCTTGCCCTGCACCATTCCTGTGTCAGAATTACTGTGGTTAATGTCTTAGACTTTTAGATATAGCTAGATGCTACATTCCAATGCAACTTCTCATTTTCTTCCACTGGATAACTGTGTTAGCTTCTAACTCCGATGCTCCCTTCTTTAAGCACTTGTCTTTAAATGTGCTTTGGTTTGACTGTTTAGTATCCACCACAGAATCGTTGTGCTTGCAGCTCTTCTTCTTTTGTCGTGCCTGCCGCTTCACATCTAGCGTCACCCGTCTATTTTGGGTGGTTTCTCCCGGTGGCCTGCGCATTTTCTTTTAGTAGAAATGAAGTCTATTTGACTTTACTTACTTTTAAATGTTATCAAGTGCAGTTCCCCTTTTTGTTCAGAGAAGAAGTATAAGTTTAGTTGGCTGTTGACCAACCTTCGTCCCTTCAGGTGCAAGTGTTAACTAAAACTAAACATAAGTTAGGGAAACCTGTAAATAACATTTTCATTTCTAGTACCACATCAATTTTTTTGTTCATATAATTATGGTGCACGGGCGAGTTTACGCCAGTGTTATCAAAGGTGCACTTTAAGCGCGCTTAATCCCTGAAGCAAGGCTCAAAACATGTGCGCTTTAGTGTCGTCATCAAGGTTCTAAGGCAACCATTTCCTTGTCAATGAGCCTCTTATGAAGAATTGAAACTAAATAATTGATATTTCACTTTATCATAAAAAAAATTTCAATCTTTTTGGTCATATATTTGTCATTCATGTTTATAATTATTAGTCTTGGAATAAACATGTGTATTTGTATTCTTTTCTCCCTTTACGCTCTTTTTCATTAAAGTCCACGCTTTATTTGCGCTTTGCGGTTAAAGCCCCCACAAACCTTAGAGCTTTTTTGCGCTTTTCGCCTTTGATAACACTGGTTTACGCGCATCTTAATTGTTCCATAGAGTACCTGCCTCCCACAGACAGAGATACCGGGTAACTCTTTGTTACTGCAACCATATCTCCATATACTGTGTCAACAGTCAACACCATGATCTCTCCTATCAGATTTCCCCTAATAAATCATTTTTTATCCTTGGACATACCTATATCTTTACAAAATTTAGTATTTGTCTCCTTTTAATCCAGTTTTCTAAGTATAGAAAATTTGGTTTCAGTTTTGAATATAGACACTAAAGACTAGTGATGTTGATTCTTTACTTTACCACACTAGTTTTAATTTGATAATCCTACCATTACTTTACTCTATGTCTACAAACTTTATTTTTTGAATCATAGTTTCCCAATGTGTTTTTCCCATTCCTACTTATATCTACCTAGGAATACCGCAAATTATGACTTCTGCTATTGATCCCTCGACCTTTTCCCCTGTCCACTTAGCTTAGTTCAGCTAACCCTCGACAGATCACATCTCATTAGAAAGACATGTATTTTCTTTTTTATTTAGGATTTTTTTATTTATTTACCTAGTCTCTTGTGGATACCAGACACATGATATTTACGCTCCTCCTATTTAAGGTATTCACTAAGTTAGAAAATATAGTTCGATATTAACTTGGTATTTTGGGATGATAACGTCCAAGTATTTCATTGCTAGCAATCCCTCAATGCAGAAGCTAGTAGTGGACGAAACGGCTGAATTGGTTAAATTTTGAGAAATGGAGGTAATGGTTTTGTTTCACTATTTTGCTAAAGTAAACCTTGATTTGCCGCCAAAGAAACGATGGTAGATTGTGAAAAGGAGTTCTGTTATGACTTATATTTGACACTATACCTATTTCCTACCTCCTAAGACCCTATGATGGGGATAAACCATTACATGATTTGGAGATAATTTTGCTCTCTGCAGTAGCTGAAAGGGAAGAAAAGTAGAGTGGAGAGAGGCAGAGGAATGTCTGGTCACCTTGGTATTTGAAATTGGAATCGTGGGGTTGGCTCTAGGTGATGGGTACCATTTGTGCAATGTCTTTGTGGTTGTAGGGCATCTATAATATTATTTTACTGGAGTGCTGAATAACAACTTCAGTGAAAGCTTTTATGTGCATATTTTCCTTGTTTCACCTGATTTGAGAGTTACATCACCGTCCTTCAAATTCTAGGGAACAGTCTAGATTATGGGTATCTTTTAGGGCATTTACTGAAGTAGAAAAGTGATAGTTAAGTTGATAGGTCCCTGGCAAGCAAGTACCCCTGCTTTCTGTTGTATTTTTTGTTGCTAAAGCTCATTTAAAGAATTGTGTGAAAGCGCATTCATTGTTCTGGTGTTTTAACTTCATGAATAGCCAAGTGAGAATTGGTAGCAGAAGTCAGTTCACTTGCTCTTAATGTATATGCAATGTCCTTTTTTGGGTATCTTACATATCTCTACAATGCAGGGTGGTCGCTTTGCCTGCCAATCTGGATTTTATGATCTTTAATCACCGTGGGAAAATATTTCCTCTGGAAACCGAGTTGAAGTTGAAGTAATGGTCTGGATTAATTCAGTATTCATGAGCTCAACAAACTGCCACCCTCCAGACCAGCCCCATCTTTCGCGACTGTTCTTGGAGAGGATTGTTTTAGACAGTTTTTCTATTACACTAATTCAATTACTCGAGCAGCACTAGTCGACCTGTGGAATGTTAATTGTTAGAGAGCAGACGGAAAAAAAAGACACTCAGTTTGCACATTTTCATTTTTGCTTGCTTAAATTTTAGTTTTGTATGTTAAGACTCGAATTTTCAGAACATATCCCATAGTGTCTATTAGCATTTATTCTCTATCTATGCAAACATGAACCTGTTGTTTGAAAACGATTTTTTTGCAGTGCAGCTGTGAAATTTCTGTTTAGACATCTCTAATGCAGGACATGTATGACCCTGCAAGTGGGATTGGAGGAGGGTGGTGTGTCTACGCTAGATATGTATGGCGTCCATTGTTCATAATTTCAAATTTGTGCCTTACTTTGGTTGAATGAAGGAAATAATCTGTTTTTTCGTATAAAAACAATCCATATAATCTGATTTTTTCGTGTATAACCAGCATGGTCTATTATCCATTAGAAAACTGGCGTTACTGCAGAATACATATTTCAAGGGATAATTTCAAGATCCTATGGATAAAATAAATTCCTTGAGTTTCATGAATAACCTTATAACATACCTTTTACCTATGAATGAAACAAGTTAAAACACACAAGGTTCTAAGAGAACTCCAAAAACTACTAGTCTGAACAATAAGGCAGCAAGACATTGATAGCAAGTTGACAACAAAATGTTAAAACATAGAACATCCTTTACACATTTTCTAGTTACATCTTCAATTAAAAATGTGAAGGAATATCATCCAAAAGCATAAGAGTGGTAAATGCAGTTGCATCATCGTTGCTGCCAAGATTTGAACATAATAGTTAGGATGTGGCTTGTTTACTAGCCATGTAAGATACTCATATAGCTTGAGTCTACTGTTAGTCCCTGAGTTACCACACTCACAAATAACAACTACCAATTTGTATGAAATGAAGAAAAAAAAATGTGAAGGGGGCCAATAAATTTAGTCCTTTTTCTAGTTAAGAGAAAACAAAGCAAATAGGATTGACATTTCTCATCAATTGTCATGCTTTCATCCATCAACTCCACTTCCAAACTTCTGCATTAAAGACTGAACAATGAAAAATTCACAGCCATCAAAGCAAATACATGCATGATCAACACCACCGCTATTCAAAAACTTGTGTTCCTACTCTTTTCCAGGGAGTGAGCAGAAGGAGAAACTTCATTTGCAAAAGGAAAAAGATTCTCACTGAAATAGATTCATTGGAGATTGAACAATGACTAACCTCAAAAAAATGCTCTACGTTACTACATCTCGACATCCAAACAGACTCTGTGACATCCACAGAAGAATTACAGTATGACTTGACTTTTATCTAAACCTAATCAATTGCTGCTGTTTTGAAAAGGGTACAGAACTACCCCATGAAGCTAACCAACTAATTTACAACTGGGTTAACTCCTGCTGATTTTCCCTAGATTGTCTCAGTATTAACTCAGCTCTCCTCTTCTTGTCATCTCTATCTTCATCCCGCCGGAACAAGGAAGCGTTTCTCGCAGAACCCTTTTTCCAAAGCCTTAGATCCAAAGAATCACCTAAGGCCTTCTTTCCAGGTCTAAACTCTAAACAGACAGCAGGCCTCTTGTCCGGAAGTGTTTTCTCTGTACCATTTACTGTTTCAGAAAGCCCATCCTTCATTGCCTGAATTGCTGGGGAGAACGTCTCCAGCAAAGAAACATGATTTTTATCATCTACCTCACTAGAAAGTTTAGTTGGAAGAGCCACTGGGTCCACATCTTTCTCACCAGCTTGAAAAGGTTTTGCAAGAAATGGGTTTTCACTTTTACTAGCACTTGAAGTGATACCAACATCATCTGGCTGCCTAGAAGTTGATGCCACTGCTGAACCATTGCATACCAATCGCTGTTGTAAATTTAATAAAGATCTTTCTGCCTTCCTTCGCTGTCTTGCTAATTCAATTTTATCAGCTCGAGGATCCGATGCCCTCTCATTCCATGTGGGGGTCCGTACATAAGTATGCGGATCAGGAAATGCAGGCAACCATGGAGGTATGTGCTTAAATGGCGGTGTTTCACCAATTTGTAAAAAACTGGGTATCAAATTGGGATGTTTTACCACAGGAAAATGTGGAAGAGGTTGAGAAAATGGTATCTCTTCAGCAGAGTCCACATACTCAACCATCTCGCTAACAATACCAGAACTTAACCCACAGCGGTTCACTTCCGATGCTCGCAGAAAACCAGTGGAGGCACACATATCCTCTAATCCATGAATAATATCAAACACATTGCACTGTGTTCTTCCAGCTAAATTAGCACTACTACTAGCAGTCTTCCCTAGGTCAAGTATATACTTAATTGCAATGTCTGCAAGTGATTCAAGAGCAGATTCATTGAAGATCTCAAATCCAATACTTTCACATATCTGTGCCACTGCGGTCCTCGATATTGCTCGCCCAAAATCGTCTGTACCAGCTCTTTCTTCCCTAGTATTATCAACAGTACTCTCTTTCTCCCTTTTATCCTCGGCATTACCTCCAATGATCATATTCAAATTCCTAAAAGATTTACAGCTTCTTCTACTCAAAAACCTCACCACTCAGCTCAAACTTGTGCCTTTAACAGGAAAAGTTCACAACTTGGTAACATTACAAAAAACTCCACAACTCAAATATGCAGTTCAAGATCCCAACACTCATTTGCAATTCATGAAGACCCTATGCATTTAAGCTGCATTAAGGAGTAAAAGCACAGCCCAATTGCTCAAAATACAAGTAGACATGAATTACTAAACTCTTGGCTTCTCCCAAAATGTTAAAAAAATCACAACTTGGTGATGTAAAATGACAACCCCAGAACCCAAAACTCAACCAAAATTTTCAACAAAATCAAATAGAAACCTCAATATTCATCCACCCCACTTGGTAAACTCGTATCTTTTCCCAGAAACAAAAAAAAAAATCACAAATTGGGCGATGTAAAATGCAAACCCCAGAACCCAAAACTCAACCAAAATCTTCAACAAAATCAAATACAAACCTCAATATTCCTCCACCACACTTGGTAAACTCCTGTCTTTTCCCAAAACAAAACAAAAATCACAACTTTGTGACACAAAATGTGAACCCCAGAACCCAAAACTCATCCAAATTCCTCAACAAAATCAAATACAAACATCAATATTCCTCCACCCCACTTTGTAAACTCATGTCTCTTCCCAAAAAGAAAACAAAATCACAACTTTGTGATGTAAAATGCGAACCCCAGAACCCAAAACTCAACCAAATTCTTCAACAAAACCAAGAACCCACCTCAAGATTCCTCAACCCCACTTGATAATTCATAAAACCTTAACTATTAGGCTACATTAACAAGAAAAACTACAACACCAAATGCCCCAAATATACAACCAAAATGTATGAAAATGAGTACTTACAGCTGATTTTTGGGACTAATTCAACTTGGGGTACCGATTTCTTGATTTGTAAATTGAAATTGCTTCAAAATTGAGAGAGCTTAGAAGGGTTTATGGAGAATTTTTTGATAAACCCTAAACGGTAAACACCAAGAAAGGGATTTTTAGATCGAGAGAGTGGAGGATCGAATACTGGAGCGGGACCTTTTTTTTATAGAAAAAAAAAGCATTCTAATAATAGCATATAAGCCCATGTAGTTTAGAAAACTCACAATTGACCCATATAACTTTTATTTTATTTTATTCTTGAAAATATTTTTGAAAGTGTGTTTAAATAAGTAATTAGACAAGACATGATTTATCTTCAGATCGATGACGTAACTCTTAATAGGAGGACATGAAGGTTGAGCATTATTGTAAAAAATTAGTTGGTAGTTAGAACGTTATCTAGTTCCCTTTTATCAATATTGTTGTTATTACATTTCTATTATCTATTGTTCGAATTTATTATTATCTGTTGTTTTAATTACCATAATCTTTGTTGTTCCTATTGTTCTTTTCATATGTGATTTTAGCATGTTATTTATTAATATATTTATTTTTCATATTTTATTTTATTATGTTTTAATTGATCCATGAGCCGAAAATTCAGCAAAAGGAATTTCTACCTTCATAAAAGAGAATAAGATTATGTACACGTCGTTGTCTTTCAATATTACTTGTGAGATTACACTAAATATATTATTATTACTAAAAGCTTTTTAAGTTCAAAAAACATAACTTAGTTTATGGCCAATTTAACATCCAAATGCATTTTCTTACAAAGAAATATCAATTAAAATTTTTATCATCCATTTACTTCAACATTGAGTGATTTATTTTGCCATGTTAAGGAAAAAGTTGTAAACATCATTAAATATAAATAGAAATAGAGATTACAAAACTACAAATTTAAGAGGAAAACATTACATATATGAATATGTGAACTTTATACATAATTCAAGTAGTTGATTTGTAACTATTCTATATTGGCATAATTTCATATTGATGTTTTTTTCTTTCATTACAGCCAATTAAGTTCCCTCTGTATATCATTCTTTCTTTTAATGCAAAATATATAGTTAATAATCCAAAAACACATATAAACAATTAGTTTTTTTTTCCTAATTAGTTTCATATTTTAAACGGTTCATTATTCTCTTTATTTACTTAAACTATCACTATTTTTATATTAAAACATAGTTTGATGTTGAGTTGACCAAATATTTATTCTCAATAGATAACAAGCGTTTGTAAACCAACCCAACATTGAGATATACTTTAATACAAAGTAAATTTGATAATTAAGGTATAAAATTCGCGAAAAATCAATAGTTTAAGTAGGTAAATAGAACAATAGATAGTTAAAATATGATACTCGCAAAAGAAATAGTTTAAGTATATTATGTTTACCATTAACTCAATGTAACATGATTGGTTAATATTTAATAATAATCATAAATAGAACATTAGGAACAAACTTTCACTTTCTTAAAATTATCCAATAAAATAACAAGTGTTCTTTCATCCCTAATATGAGATTTCAAATTTCGAATCCTGGTATGGAAACATTTTTTTAGAAGCACTATACCTCCGGTGTGAGATTCTTCGTTCGAACCCTAGGTATGAGGACACTTTTATTTAATGCACATGTGAGGTCTCGAGTTCGAACCCTACACATAACATGTTATTATTAAAAAAATGTTTACCATCATTTGAATTTAAACCAGACTCTCGTCATTATTAGAAAACATTTTACTAACATTTGAATTTAAACAGACTCCAATGTGATACCCGATAGTATGAGAAGTTCAAGGGGGTAAAATGTGAAAATCCAAAAAGTTAAGAGCACATACATAAATATAATTGTTCCTTTGGCACACAAAATATTGGGATAAGCCAAAAGAGAACTCCTAGCGTTTGAGAAGAAGAAAAAAATGGAGAAGTACTTTGGAAACGCATACAGGGGTGACCCGGGAGTGCCACACGCCGACCCGGAACGATTCGTGAATATATGGATCGGGTCTGCTGCTTTCTCTGCTCTTACATGGGTCAATCCCTACATGTGGACTCTTTCCAATCAATACAAGTAAAACCTGCAAAACTCACTTTCATTTCCTTTTTTGCAACAATGTTTTGTTGTTTTTCGTATTTGTTGTTAATTTGATAAAAGGGTTATCTTTATTTGCCTAAATTCTTGTTCTATGTAGTGTGTTTGTAAGTTTGAGGAGTAGAATTGAGTTATGGTATTTGTGGTGCAAAGAGCTATTAAAGCAAGAGAGGGAGAGAGCTGTAAAGGGGTTGTCTTTATTTGGCTCAATTCTTGTTCTATATAGTTTTGGGTACAATTTTTTTCCTTCATATTTGTTGTTAATGTGATAAAGGGGTTAACTTTATTTGGCTAAAGTCTTATTCTATATAGTGTGCTTGTAGTTTTGAGAAGTGGTCTCAACTTGTGGTGTTGGTGGTGCAAAGAGCTATTAAAGCAAGAGAGTGTGGTAAAAGGGTTATCTTTATTTGGCTCTATTCATGTTCTATTATTGTGCTTGTAGTTTTGATGAGTGGTATCAACTTGTGGTGTTGGTGATGCAAAGAGTTATTCAAGCAAGAGAAAGAGAGAGAGTGTGTTTGGTAAAGGGGTTATCTTTAATTTGCTCAATTCTGGTTCTATATAGTGTGCTTGTAGTTTTGAGGAGTGGTATCAACTTGTGGTGTTGGTGGTGCAAAGAGCTATTACAGCAAGACAAAGGTGACAGAGAGTGGTAAAGGGGTTGCCTTTCTTTGGCTCAATTCTTGTTCTATATAGTGTGCTTATAGTTTTAGAGGAGTAGTATTGACTTATGATGTTTGTGGTGCAAAGAGCTATCGAAGCAAGAGAGATTGTGGTAAAGGGGTTATCTTTATTTGGCTCGATTCTTGTTCTATATAGTTTGCTTGTAGTTGAGGAGTGGTATCAACTTGTGGTGTTGGTGAAAGAGAGAGAGAGAGTGTGTGTGTGGTAAAGGGGTTTTATTTATTTAGCTAAATTCTTGTTCTATATAGTGTCTGTAGTTTTGAGGAGTAGTATCGACATGTGGTGTTGGTGGTGCAAGGAGCTATTAAAGCAAGAGAAAGAGAGTGTGATAAAGGGTTATCTTTATTTGGCTCAATTCTTGTTCTATATAGTGTGCGTGACTGCTTATAGTTTTGAGGAGTGGTATCAACTCTTGGATTTGGTGGTGCAAAGAGCTATTAAAGCAAGAGTAAGGGAGGGAGTGTGGTAAAGGGGTTATCTTTATTTGGCTCAATTCTTGTTCTATGCAGTGTGCTTGTAGTTTCGAGGAGTGGTATTGATATATGGTGTTGGTCAACTTTTGTTGCATTTAAAGTTGGTATGGTGCTTGTTAGGAGTCTTTGTAGTTTGGTTAGGAACTTGTACGTCTCTTTGGGGATGAGTAAGACGTTTCTACTTTTAGTTGGTATTGTTGCCTCTAGTTTTAGAGAACTTCTACTTTGCGGTAAATGACTAATTACTTGGAAGTGGAATCAAATAAGTCCGAAGAGAACATAAATGGCATAAAGGATTCATATAGCCACCAGCAACTAGTCTTGGATAAATACAGTGGTTTATCAAATTATGATGTTAAGAATTGAAGTAGAGTTGAGGTCCATTTGGCATTGTAAAACCACAAGGGAGGTCTTTTTTCACCTTGCAAGTTCCCTTTTCTTTTTGGGTGGACAAGTAATTAACCTTCAAAGCTGTTCTTGATCGTTATCATGATAAAGTTAAGGCTGTTCTTGATGTGATTATGATTAAGGGCTGTTGAATTTACACTGCCGGTTTCTCTTTACAGTTTAGAGTTAAAATATGTGGGGTCAGTCCATATCAAAAAAGATAATTGAGTCAATCTGTTTCTCATCAAGGGGTTGAATAAGTTGTTTTGCCTGCTCACTTTAGCCCTTTCTCCATCCCCGTTGAGATGTCCGGAACATTGTCGATGCTTCCATTTGACATGTTTTTAAATGGAAATATCGGTGAATATAGGGTTTTGCGTATTTAGGTTTCTAAACCTTCTTACTGGATATATTACTAAAAATTAGTTTGCAGACTGTCAATAGAAGGTTAGTGCACACTATAATGCCAGCTCAAAGAATATAGTGTTGCTGTAATAAGTATCACTAGTTTGAGAGTGACAGTAGGCATTCTGTGGTTTTTTTCATTTGTGCAAAGATTATATTGCTGAAACAAGTGTCACTAGTATGTTGAGGGATTAAATTGTCATTAGGATCATTGAGTTGCAGAAGTTCAGGAATAAGTAACGCTTGATTCATGCTAGCAGGTCGTCTCTGTGCTTCATTTTCATTCTTTTCTTTCAATTTGTATCTTAAAAATTAATGCATACACATCTCTCTATTTTGTGTTCCGTTCTCCGTAAGTTCCCACCTCTTCCAGCTAAATGGCATCTGTTGGCATTTGAACAACAAAGGAGCAGTACATTCATGCTAAGTTGAACTACTAATCCTTCTCACTATTCTGTTTCTCATTAAGAACAAATCATTTGTTGATTACAAAAATGGATCAGGGATTTACCTTTAGTAAAGCAAAAACTAAAAAGTTTGAGGATATTTGACAATTGCCTCAGACACGTAAAAGGTCTTAGTGTTTGCACGACCTCAAATAAAGGAAGATCACACTCACCCGAACTTTGTCGGAGGTTTAAATCTTGGGAACTTCTTAAGTACTGCTTTGTCCAAGAGGTCCAAATTAGTGCCATGAGACACATCCCGGTAGAACAGTTCCATATTCACGAGAGAAAAACCTCAATGCATGATGACTGTAGAATGCTTAGCTTGTTGGAGATTATCTGTTTGTGCTTTCATGTAAATCTTAGAAATAGGGTAGGAGAAACAAAAGATCGCAGAAGTTTATATTCTTTTTGCAAAATGTTGGTGCAAAGAGGGTGGTTTGCTGGGTGTCCGAGTGAACTGAAAAGGGTAGTAAGAGGTAATATGAGGCTCCCCTACACTTTTCTTCCCCCTTTTTTCATGAGGCTCCCTTCTGCTTTCCAAGTTCACATTTGGAGTTAGATTAGATAGGTCATATCTGAAGAAAATTGGGTCATTGTTATCTTTTCCTATGCTTATTTGTTTATCACTTTATACTAACAATTTTAAAGGCTCATCTCTCGAGATCTGAAATACAATGCAAGAGTGATAATTGATTAAAGCATAATCCATGCATTTTTTTTTTGAAATGGAGCCCGGTTGATCATTTCACTTAAACATCATTCAAAGCTACCATGCATTCTTAATTTGTGACCTTCTTGATCTTATTAGAGCTATGCTTCTTGAGTTGTGGATGCTAGTATAGCTTCAAAACTTTAGTTTTGACGCAGTTGAACTCCACTATGGCTAATTGCCAGTAGTCTGTGCCCCAGCAAGTGATCACATTTTGCCATGTTGGGTACTGGCAGTAGTAATTGTTGTCTCAACGACAACCATATTACTGCAAGATTGAGATTCCTTTAAAAAAAATCATTTTTGCTGTGTATCTGACTTATTGAGTATGTTGTTATGTGCAGCTGGCATGACAAAGCCATGCTTTTTGAGCAATATCACTGGAAGAAAGCTCTCAAGAAAAATCAGGACTATGAATTTAAGGTACTCGTGGTTCTCAGGTTTCTTATGTTATGATTATGTTAACGCTTATGCGCCATAAAAGGAAGACGGCTTTTGTTCCAATGCTTTTTGTTTCAAACTAGGATGAAATTACTGGATTTATGTTTCTCATTTGAGTTTCATATGTTGCAGTGGAACCAGTACATGGATAAAGATGCCCGAGACTCGTACTACTTCAATTGGCCTGTTTACTTTCCATAAGTTTCTCCAATGTATCAGCATTTGCTGTTTCCTTTTGAAATTTCTGTTGATACTATGAATTCAAACATTTTTAGCCTCTGAAAAGTTTGGTGATATTCCAAGTGCTGCATGATTGCTTCCCTTAGTTTTCTCTAATTAATGGCATTGCTGGTCTTCCTATTTGAACTTCATACTACTGTGTCCTTGAGTTCTACTTGATCTTGAGATGACAAAAGAGGTGAACGATCCATGTCCAGAAATTCAGAGTATTCTCTCCCCAGCCTCTAGCTCTACGAGAGGTAGGGGTAAGGTTTGCGTATACATTGTCCTCCTCAGACCTCACTTGTGGAATTACGGTTGTTATTTGGTACTCAAATAGTGTTTCAACCCTACAAAGAGTGGATAACTAGACTACAATTTAGTCCTGAAATATAGTTACTACAAAGCACCAACATTGGAATATGTTTCAGTCTTCTTTTTTGCAGATTTTTCTGCAACTCCTCTGGTTTACAAAGTACTTCAGGAACACAATTCTGGTAGGCGTTTGGACATGCGATTTGGAATTTATATCATGATTTCAAATCTCAAATTCTTCAAAAAAAAAAAACAGGATCTTTGGGTTTCCAAATTGTGACTTCAAAATCTTTTAAATGTAAAACTTGACTCATAAGTTCATATTTTGTAAAAAAAAAAAAAACTCATCATTTTAAATTTTGCGAAAAAAAGTTCATGCTCAGAGTGAAAAAAATATCCGTACCATCTTTATGTGTATTTAAAAGTTTGTAATTTATAAAAGAAACATGTAGATATGTGACTTATCAATTTTCCACATATCATGTTTAGGACTACAAAATTTAAAAACATTTCGATACATTCTACGTACCTTTAGTTTAATACTACAAGAGATTCAAATATTCTCTTTACTTTCTTAACTTCTGTGTCAAGTCAAAATTAGATAAATCATGTGAAACACAAGAAATATATTATATATGTTTTCTATAATAATATTTCGCTATGGAGGTTAAAAAAAAAATAGATCTTGGACAAATGAATATTATGATCAACTTAGTCTAGGGAACATATGAAGTTCCTAAGAGAGTTCAATATTTATTATGAGTCCGGAGCCTAAAGGGCAAAAAAAAATTGTCAAAAATTCCAAAAGGGCACATCACTTTTTATTCTAGCCAAAAGGGCAAAATCGCTGCGTTAGCAGCAATTTTCCTCTGACAAAATGACGAAATAGCAGCGATTTCGTCTAAATTTTTTATAAAAAAAAAATTAAAAATCGCTGCCACATCAGCGATTTTGTAAAAAAAAAAATTATTAAAAATCGCTGCCACAGCAGCGATTTTGTTAAATTTTGTTTTTATTATTATTATTAAAAATCGCTGCCATTGTAAAAAAAAGAAAAAAAAAATTGCTGTGGTAGCGATTTTAAGTCAGAATTTTTTTTTTCCTTACACATCGCTGCAGGGGCAGAGTTTTTCATGCCGAGTGCTATTATTTTCATGCCTATTATTACTTATTAATAATATAAAAATGATAAACAAGACGACAGTATACTCAATAAAATTGTTGAAGCATGAGGAAAATTGAATTATATATCATAAATAATAATAAAAGAATATTAAATTTTAAAAAAAACTTTTTTTTTAAATTCTTAACCAAATTCGCTGCTATAGCAGCGATTTTGAAGAAAAAAAGTTTTTTTTTTTTTGAGAAAATATGCAGCGATTTTTATTTTTGTTTTGTCAGAAGCCCTTTTGGATAAAAAAAATTTTGATGTGCCGTTTTAGTTTTTTAAAAGAAAAAGCAGCGATCTTTAATTAAAAAAAATTACAAAATCGCAGCGATTTTTAATAAAAAAAAAAAAAATTTAGACGAAATCGCTGCTATTTCGTCATTTTGTCAGAGGAAAATCGCTGCTGATGCAGCGATTTTGCCCTTTTGGCTAGAATAAAAAGCGATGTGCCCTTTTGGAATTTTTGACAATTTTTTTTTGCCCTTTAGGCTCCGGACTCTATTTATTATGGTCCATCTACAAATGGTTGTCACCTGCAATTCCTAATGTAATTAAATCACTTGTATGACTTTTTCCACAATTATTGCAAGTCTTCTTAGTTGTCATGCATTGTCAAAATCAAGATGCACTCATAATCAACTTTGGATTTATTTTTTAACAACTATTGCTAGTCTTCTTAGTTGTCATGCATTCTCAAAATTAAATCAACATGTATTCTTAATCATCTTTGGAGATATTTTAAAAAATTGATTAAATTTTGCTGGAATTTAAGTTGACTAGTTCTTTGTCTTATTCTGTCTGAGCCTAATTTTCAGTAATCAATTCCTGATAAAATTGTTGAGAGAAGAGTCAAAAACAAATTTAAAAGAATTTAAATGTGCGAGTTTTCTATCTGAACGATGGTGATATTTTAGGTCGAAAAAAGAAACAACGGATAGTTGAGGTGTGTTTTGATAAATAATTGATGAATGATGGTTCAAGTATGAAAGTCGAATAATCAATATACTTTAAATGTATTTTGACTATTGATTCTCTTTTCTTACACCTTTTCATGATTGTGTCTTTCATATACTGAAAAATGGGCACACTGATTTGCTTCCCTCTAGACATGTCAAATTGTGGCTTTGTTGACCGCAATAAATATCGATATTTTTTTATTTTAATAGTATGTGTAAGTGGATAATGTTGAAAGGTACTAATGGCTATATATAGTTTTAATCATTTTAGATTTTATTCATAGATAAAAGTGTTGTTTTATGATTATGGTTCATGCTTAGAGTGTAAATCATGTAAAATCCATTCAGAGATATAATAAAGAGAGTTATCATGAAATAAGAATTACATATTCTAGCGTAACCTAAAATGCAATAGATCTCTCTCAATTGTGTATTGATCAAAAGACCGGATAATACAACCTCTTATCAAGGATTGATTATGTCCGGCACATATCTTTCCTATTCCTGACATGCTATGGCATTAGAAGTGGATAGGGGCAGGGTCCAGTACGTATAGTCACAGAATAATAATCATGTCTAAATCTGATCTATTTATTCGACATTCCTCATAATATATATAACATGGTGCATCGTCCATAAAGAAGGTAAAATAAAAATGTGTTAATAAATATGTATTAATAATACAATTAGACAATCACAGACAATTGTATTACTATAGTATGTTATTCTTCATTTGTCCATTCTAATTAAGGAAATGTTAATAGGTATAATAGCAGAAATGATTACATAAAAGAGGCTTGCTCAAAGTGTTTTCCAACACAATTTGTATAAAATATATTAAACTCTCTATTGACACAATTTTTTTATACATAATCAAACTATTTTTATTTAGCAGTAACTTACCTTATTTTTAAGATTACCGATCCTACCTTGCAATTACCATATGCATTGTATATTAACTTAATTAAATGGAAAAAAATATGCTTATCTCAGATACCCACATCGAGCTCTTACGAGATGAAAGATATGTTTATATATTTTGAATAGTTTTCATCTTTTCATGATCAATTAACTTTTGATATTGAATTGCTTCCAAGATTTATTTTTTTAATATGATATCAGAGTCATTTGACTTATTCAAATTCATTGTTTACCCGATATTGATCCCGTTTTCCTTTTCTTGTATTGCATGTTATGTTGATATTGATGTTACTTACTTGATATTTCCCTTTCTCCCCACTTACTGTCTTTTGAATGTTTATTTTTTGTCTTCCAACTAATATCTCATATGAAATCATTAATTAATGTTTTAATGTAAATTCATTTCTTATTCATAACCTTAACTCGAACGAATTTCTATTTAAACAATATATTAATTTATAATTATCATTTAAAATGCACCGGGAATATAATATGATATGCTTTTTATGTTGTGACCTTTCCATAATAATAGAACGACTTTATTTTATTATTATTTATATAAAATGAAAGGTACTATACTATTTCATTCTAAGCAGACAATTCCATGATCAACATTAATACATATACTTTAGAAGATGTAACATTGTCCTTAAAATAATTAAGTCTAATTGAAGAATGAAGATCAAGTAACACAATCAAAGTTTGTAAATTTATTAATAGTTGAGCACAAGGCCTAGCATATATGTAGATTCTTAAATATCTTTTCATCTACTAACGTGAGACTTTAGTTTGAGCATCCAGTAGCAAGAACCTTGTGTAATTCCTCGGCACGACAAGGAAATTCAAGAACACCTTGTTGTTTAAATCCATATTCATCTTCAGCTTGTTTTAATAGTTTCAAAAATGATGGATGATTTAGCCAATGCAATTCCACCACAAACCTTTGTGGTTCCTCTTCAGGATTTACTGAAAGAACAACAAAATGTCCTTCTTTTACGTCATTCGGCACCAATAACGTCTCTCCACGTGGCGTTTCGTCGTGGAATTGATCAGTAGAACTAGTAGTAGCATTATTATTTGACCTCTTTTTGGATTTGAGAATCAATTGATGAAGATATTGAGCCTTCAATAACTTCCCAATGATCTTGGACTTCACCATATTTTGTGTATATTTGTTGTATATATGGAGTATATTGAATTTTGTTGTGTTTTTTTATGGAGTTTTTGAAGGGGATTTATATAGAATATGGTGAAGGTTTATAATTAAGACACAATATT